TCATACTGGAGTCGAGCGACCATTTCCCCGTGAAACTATAGAGATAGGAATAGCATACATGGTAAATCCTCCGGCGTAATCTACTTACCTTTCTTGGTGCCCAACAGATTTCATTTTCCGTAACCCCCCTTAAGTTTCAAACACACAAATCTAAGTACATTTGTTAAGCCAAATGGTATCATAATCCAGAAATGTACCGGAGGAGCTCCAACGCCCTGACTCCCAACAAGAAGTCCCGTATGACAATAGAGTAACGGCAACAAGAATAATAAATCACACCATCCACTCACTAACATCCTTTGAATAGCCCCCTTAGATCATAAAATCCCACCCGCCTTGGCGCAGAACCATAATCCGTCAAATGGATGCCTTGGTCCGAAGGAGCCGTTCAAAGTTAGCTCCAATACCCTTGACCAGGACGCAAGATAGAAACCGTAAAGCACCAACAACAACAACAACAACAACAACAACAACAACAAGAATAGCAGCAGCAATAAGAATATGAGCCATACTCATCTGAATCACTGTCACTCCATAACAAATACACCACACCCCGTTCGTATAGTACTCACCCCTGTAGACTACCTAGACGAACCAGGTCTCCCATCGCAGGCACCACTTCATATCTCTGTCGTTGAATCTCGTTGGCTTCTTCGTGTCGCCCCTCGCTCTTCAGATACTCTTCCAGATTCTCGGCCGTCTGAACCCAGAACCGATCGCGTGGCGACTCAAGGCTCTTGCGACGAAGGTCGGCTGCATTCTCGTACTCGCCGATGCTATCGGCTATCGCGGCCAAGAAGTTGTGCACCGAAAAGAAGAGATAGCGGTCCAGGTAGTCCCAGTCGGGAGATGGAAGAAATGTTAGGGTCGTTTCGTCCTGCTGCTCGGCATCATCGATCTCGGTGATTCTGGGGACGCTACGCTTGGCCTTGATGCGATCCAGGATACCAGTGAGAAAGGTGCGAGCGCGCCAAGTCGATTCGGTACTAAACAGCGGTATGTACATGCGTACAAGCAGCTGTTCAAGCTCGAGGATGTGATTGGTCGTGTTGGCCTCGCCCTCTTTTTCAAGCGACTTCTGAACAGAAGCGTTGAAGTCGTCAATCAGGGTGCCCACAATGGACTGCTCCGGGTTCATCAGAATCACGTAACCGCGCTTGAGATGGATGGTGACTCTATCCTGTTTTCCGCGCAGATCGCTAACAAGATTGATCCACAGCTTCCAGCCACTCTCAATGTACTTCTGGATGGCAGGCAGGTTGTTGCCAGGATCGTTGCTGGCGAGGCGGTGGAGGTTCTTTGCGATCTTGGAAATCGGATGGTTGGGTTGCTTGAGAGCAGTAATTTTGTAAAGGAACTCTGTGTATATGAGGAGTATGTCGGTCCAGTTGGTGCTCAGCGCAAGTTGTGGAACAGCAAGACAGCAGTCCCAGATAGCCTCAATATCAAGCTCGGCGCTGACGACTTCCTGGATCTTGTTGAAAGCGCGCTGGATACACTCTCCACCTTCGACGGGATGCTCTTGCGTGAAGTGGTCCTTGGCGGTGCGGAAGTCTTGGAGAATGGAGCTTCTGTGGAATCCGGACGTCCAGGGTGCGTCTCTGCGAACCCAAGTGGAGATGTAGATGTTGTACTGATTCAGAGTTGACTCCATATAGAAAGACTCCTCATCTGGAAATCTCATCATTCGTATGAGGTTCATGGACGGCGGGTGGGGGTGGTGGTACGTGGCAGGGGCTGGCTTTGACACGTGATAGCCGTGGTACGGATGGGTATGGTGATGGTACTGATAAGGGGCAATGCCGTCCGAAACGCTCTTTCGCTTCTGGCTCTTCGGGGCCACGACTTTGTCGACGTTGTTCTTGCTAGACTTGTTGTACTTGGTCCACGCCCACTTTTGGAACATGCCCTTGTACATCCTCGCTCTAGACAGACGGCAGTGTTAGGGGCGGACGAGATCGGTCGGCTGTGAGAGCACTCACGTGGCCTTGAAGTTGTGCTTCCTCTGCATAATCTCGATCACGTCATTGAGGATAAGATTCTGCTGCATGTAATATTTGAACACAAGGTCTTTCTTTGCCTCCCAGTCGAGCGCGCTCGCAGGGATCAGAGGCTTCTCGGGTGGAAGCTCTGGTGTGTCTGGCTTGCTGGGGAGGCTCATGCCATGGTTCTGAATGGTCTCGGAACCTGGGCCAGAGTTAGGGTCGGGGGGGTCGAGGACGGGCAAGATTGGCGAGGTCGCAGCTTCGACGGCACCAGTCATGTCTACTGGAGTGGAGCTCATGTCGATGAACGAGGGGGCGCCAGCGCCAAAGGAATTGCTGTCGGCACTGAACGACCGGGAAAAGACCGGGCGAGGGCGGCTTAGCAGCGTGTGAGCGGGCGCAAAGAGTTGCGGGTCAAGCTGCGGTACTCTGAATGTGCTTTCCTCTTCCATCCGTGGGAGTCCATTCGGCAGGTGCTGGAATTGGTGCGGATACTGAATGGGCATCCCTAGGGCGTAGGCCCTCATGGAGGCGTGCCTTGAAGCGGTTGCCATGCTGTGGGGGGCAGGCCTAAAGTAGCCTGGGACCGGCAGCTTCAATTCGGGCGTGTCGAAGTCATCACGGCTGCCCATGGCTGCGCTCGACACTCCTAGGTAGTAGGGAGAGTACAGGGAGACCATTGATGCGGCAAGTGCGTGCGCTAACTTGATGCCGGACGGCAACCAGGCAAGCGGGAAACCGTTGCGGTGTTGAGATAAAGTGTCAGCTGAATGGAAAAACCGTTGCGACTTTGCAACGGCGGAACTGGGCCAGATCAGGATGTGTCAGGGCCACGACAAGAACCAGACTGGGAAGGGGCGATGGTATTGATGTGGAACTAGGGGGCTGCAAGATGAAAGCTAATTTGGAACTGTTGAGATAGAGGCGCGAAGGTGCAGACGACAATCAGGGGAGAATCACAAGAGACGACGAAGGCCCCAGAACTGGGCCAGGGGCTGACTGCGGCTTTTGTCTTTGATCCATCCGCAAGACCTACCTAGGTAAACCGGTCAGATCCAAAACCCTCCATTTGTGATGAAGCCCTGTAACGTTTGACCGTTCAACGAGCACCTCGCGCTTGCAACCCAGGATCTGCTCCCCAAGACGTGTAAGCCCCTGAGGTCGTACCTGCCCCGCTTGTCGCGGCGTGTATGGTCGCTGCTGTCCACCGATTTTCTTCTGTCTTGTTCTCTGGCATTCGCCACACACTCCCGCTTCTCGCATGTCTGGACTAGGGCCTGGAATACACTGTTTGTCCCCATCTGCACCACCAGGACAGATCTCAAAGTAGATTGCACCGGGGCCCGGCTTGTGACGACGCCAAGTCAGCAGGGCAACGCCATTATGGGCCCACGTCCTTCTTCCCCGCAACCTTCCCATCATTGTCACTTCTCTTTACGGCCAACCTTGGCCAGGAGGGTGCGCAGCCGGGGTTGGGCGTTACGAAATAGTGCAGGACAGACGAGCAAATTACCGTCAAACCAGCAGTCTCGAGAAAAGGAGGACACGATCCGACAGCTTGCTTGACCAAGCTTCCATCTTTGGATGCCCCTGCATCGTGGTGCTCCAGGGTGACCTCAGCCACGACTGCCGCTGGCACCTTCCGGTCGGGTGGCGTGCAACGGCCGAACCGAACACACACCATTTACTGCACCCGCCCGCGAGTCATGTCTGCCCCAGTTTATCGCGCGAAACTCACTTATTGGGTAGGCACGCGCGAACCGCCGTTTGCTTTCGGAGAAGAGTTTGTCAAAAGAAATCAAGAAACTGCTGGGCCGCTCTCAGAGCGTGACATCCCTCATTCCTTCTTTTTTTTGGTGGCTCACTCCGAGCTGCTCTTTTTCTCTCTTGCCCCTCTTGTGTTTCGCCATCGTCCGTTGCTGTGTCACGGTGCTACGGCCACAAAAGCAGCCGGTCCGTCTTCATCAGGGCGCCGATCCCGCTGGGCGCTAGCCATCTCCTGTGGTGACCGTGTCCGTCCAGTCATCACTTTCAAAGCGTGACTTGGCGCAGGCCTTTCCTTTCCATCGACCTTAGCCTGGACCGGCTGGGTCTTGCGCTAATGTCAGACCCTCGAGATACCAACAAGGCAGGCGTATCTGGAAAGGGGAAAGGGTGGTTGCACTTCTGGCCCCCCGCGTTTACGTGGCTGCATTGCATATGCAGCGGGCATAAAGACGGGTAGCACAAGAAAAGAATAACGGCCGTGTTTCAGTTCATGCAGGTGGATATTTGTAGCAAGGCAGAAAAGTCGCGATTTAATTGATATGACTCAGTTTCCCTATCGAGCCGGCTGCTTGACAAACTCATATTGGTTTGAAGGAGTTGCTGTCATCTCTGGGGGAAGCACAACCGCACATCCCCAATATCATTCCATATTGCCGGTCACGGAAGAAGGAGGGGGTACCTTTGTGCTCTTGTTTCGTTTTGAGGGCCGGTCACGGAGGTGACCCTGGCGGTGTTATATGACCACGTGGATTGCCCTCGAGATCTTGGGGAGGACACTGGATGCCCTGTCTTCGCGGGAAACCCACGGACCGGCTTAGGAGGAACGTTTAAACCCATGAATCACAACTCAAGATTTGTAGATAAATCAGAGTGAGACAAAACTCATCACATGGCGCTTGTGAAACAGCCCGTTGTTACTTCGCTTGTTGATAAACTCCCCATATCCTAACAGACACACACGAGGCAATGGTTGGTGAGTTTAGTTGCAAATCAAAACTATGACAGTAAAATATTTAGTAGAAGATTCAAGTTCATCTGAAACCTCAGAACTCAATGAATAGCATGTAACTTCACGGAGAGCTGGTAATGTTGACCCCAGTTCTCTTTCAAGTCATTTATATGATTGCGAGCAGCTTCAACTCAGAAATACCACTGTATGCAACTCAAGCCAAATATTCCTAATGTCTTTAGAGGAAAATTTGACAAATGTCAAAAAACGAGTCAGAATCACAACGGTGACACTTGCGTTGGAGGGGCTGGGAATCGAACCCAGGACCTTCCGCATCACGGGAATCGCCTTCAGAAGATGATGAGATGCTAAGCGAATGCTCTACCAACTGAGCCACACGCCTATGCTTGTTTGATGTGTTAGGATGGATGTAAAGGAGGAAATGAGTGGTGGATCGTGATGCTCAGGGGTTTAGGGGCTGGGATAAGGTGGAGACAGCCCACACTAGATTATCAGACGAAATCCGAACAACTTCAAGCACCTCAATTAGATATTTGTCTTAATAACGAAGTGGAAACAGTTGTTGCCATGCCATATTGTCCGGGCATTCCTCTCCGAGCAGTCTACGTCATCTCACCACCATGACCACAAAGCTCAGACCACAGTGAGGATTTCGAGAGCTAATGCTACGAGAAGATACAGAATTATACTGCTTTGGGAAGGTCGCACTGCCACCGGCGGTATTGCCGTGATATCGATATAAACCGGGTTAGGTCCATAGGTGGAAGACACAAACACGGAGGCGGCACGGCTGACATGCCCGACAGCCTGGCCTGACGTGAGATGTTCCGAAACTTCCGAGGCAGAGACCCACTGCTGGAAATCCTTCCTCCTCGTGAATGGAGTCTTGGCATTGATGTGCGAGAAGCTTGGACATAATCTGAAAATGATAAAGTGACGCATTTCTTAGGCAGAACTTGGCGTGAATGATTCAAGAACTGTTGAACTTGGATGAGGGGTGTTTACGGTGAGGGAACAAAATGAAGTCCACCTAGTAGTGAGCTCCGGCTTGTTTGCCAACCCTTCGTAGGGAGTACTTGCCAGAGAAGCATCTCAGCAGCCTAGGTAGTTTGCGTAGTAAAGTAACCCGCCCAGAAACCCGGTCTGCCTTGAGCCCGAGGTCAATGAGCTGACAGGGATGCATACTTCCAAAGGAAGTTGGGATGACCGAACCGAAAAAAACGAGGTCTTGGTAGTTACCCATGGGCCAGCCTTATCAACAAAATTCCGGGGAATAACATGTGGTGTGAAACTAACGTCACCCAATGGGATCTGTTCCGCTGGTATATCCCATGACCAACGGACGAGGAAGACTCCATCTTCTAGAATGTTGAACATGACCCGTGACCAGTGGATCATCTCGCAAAACCATGGGTTCAGGCAATAAGCCGCGGAGATCATGGAAGCTACTTCTCAGCTTCCAAAGGCTTTGGTATGCATTATTCCGAAGGTAACCTCAGGAGCAGGCTTTGTCGTTGTGGGTTCAGTCCGAAGACTCGAGGTGAGGGAGACACCGGATGAACCAAAGCTTCTTGCATGAACCCTTTGCGGAGGATCGTATCCCTCACTGCATCCAACAGACATGCTAGATAGACTCTGAACTCACATGATGCGGAACGCGAACACGAGGTGTGCAGAGTCTGGGAAGGTATAAAGGGGACCTGAAAACCCATCATTAACTCGACTCTCTTCTCATCATCAGCTCATCGGTATTCACTCAAGCAGCCGTCAAGCCTTCAACTCTTCAACTCACCAAGACTTCTCACGCAGTCAAACACTCAAGTGAAAATGAAGGCTCGTTTCTTCCGCATAGATATTTCGATGCAAGCGAGGATGTGAACTTACTAGAAGCCCTCACAGAACTACATCGCCATCGCTTTCCTGGCCCTCGCCACCTACGCCGTCGCCGACGGCACCCTCAACTGCGGCAACAATGCCTCGTGGCTCGCGCTCTGCAAGGGCTCGCGCTACAACTGCTCTTGCGACAGCGTCAAGCAGGTCAGCTGCGAGAACCCGCCCGACTTCTTCTGCAACGTCAACTGCCACTGCGTCTAAGTCGACCACTGGGTGTGACTTAAGTTGTCGTCTGGATATTTTGGAGGATGGGAATATGAAGTGGCGCTTGCGGGATGGATGGTGACTGGTTAGAGGTTAGAGGAAAAGAAAGGAAGGTCGGCCGACAGGGGAGTTGAAATCCGGAGGTGCAGGTCGTTTCTGGGAGGTAAAATAAAATGCACAAAACAAAACACCGGGGGGAGTCAAAGTGGTGATTTGAGTTGCCATTGTAAGGTGCAGAACAGGCAGACAGAGCTCGGCAATATCCCCTGTAGCTTAGCGATAACAATTCAAGTCACCGAACCCCATCATTTCGGCTCCTTCCCCGCAACGCGCAAGACGCGTGGTAAGCGCGATTGGACGAATCTCCCTCGCGTGGTAACGTGATTCTGGTGTCATTCGCAAAGTAAGTTCAACATAGATAGGTATGCGCTTTCTTACCTCGAGCAAAATGAAAAAAAAAACCCCTTTTTTTATTCTTTTTTTACCCTTGACCTCACATCCACCCCTTTCCCTGGCTGGAAGCGATGACGCTCGATGTCACTGGAACCCCTCGGCAAAAACATTTCGCACCTTCCCCAGCATCATCACAGTCACAGTGGCCTACAGCGTAGTGGGTCATGCGATGCGGGCTCGCTTCCACCACTGCACCATACTTCGCAACCGGAGAGTTGTCAAAATAGCGTATTAAACCCAATTTAAACCTCATGGAGCGCCCCGGATTCACCATCTTGGCAGCTGTCCAGAATCGTCCAACCGCCACTTCACTCTCCGAGAAGCCAGATTGACGTCCGTGAGCAGTGACAACCTAGTAGCAATCACCTTTTCAAGGACAAATGATGTCGTTCTACTTATAGCAGACCAATGACGCTCCGGGAAGATATTATCAGGACGGCCGCCCCTCAATCCTACGCCGCGGTGGATATTTCCCGGATAGTAATGAGCCGGCAATACCGAGGCCACGAGAACATTTCCAGAATCGCCCAATTTGAAACAGTCTCCTCAATAAGCAGACTGCCTCCAGTGCAAGTATAAGTAAGACTCTGCTGCCCTAGCGCAAAAACTTCCCCTGCCAAGTTTGTTTGTCCATCTTCTCACTCAACTTTATTTGAACCCCCAGACAAGCACATCTCATCGAAGCTCATCCCATACACACATCCCTTGTAAACATAACCTGCCACCCAAAATGAAGCTCACTGCCATCCTCTCCCTCAGCGGTGCTCTCGCTCTCGGCGTCTCCGCCAGCGTCTTGCCACCGCGCCAACTCGAAGGCACGCCGCGCCCCGGTCTTCTCTCCATCATAGCACTGTACACGGGCGACCAATGCGACAACCAGTCCCGTTGGTGGGCCATCTCGACCGGCGCTGAGAACCCGTACCTCCAGAGCAAGAAGGGGTGCCTGATGGTTGACCCTACCTGGAATATCACGAGCGCCAAGATCGTTTACTCCGGCGAAGCATGCACCGGTGAGTAGACCTACCTTAACTACAGACGTGGCAGTCGGAATGTTGTTTAGCTAAAAAAATACCAACCTGTGACCTCCCTCAGTGTCGTTTTACACGGATGCGAGCTGCCAGGATGAGGCGGTGACACCTGAGCTGGATGAGTGCTCAACGGTTTCGGAGGCAAATTGGAAGAGCTATTCCATTCGCGGCTGCACAGATTTGGTGGAGGCTGGAGCAGCTTGAAGTGAGGGGCTGCCAATATTGGGACATGATGAGGCCGGTGCATTCCAGGGCTGATTAGATGGTGAGGATACTTGCTTGCATAATAATGAATTTCCACGCCATGAGGTCAAAGATACCGGGAGTAAACATGAATCATGAGAGTGAAAGAGTAAGGATAGACATGAGAGTGAAAGAGTGAGGGACAAGAACGAAAACATAACGTCATGGATACCTCATTACCTACCTAATAAACCTTCACCACAATTACACAATGCCCGGAAACGCAACAACTCCTCTGGAATGATGACCAAATCCCAAACAAAACACGCTTACGATGGGTGAGACACACAACCCATTGAACTATCTATATCGAGGAAAGTCGGTGAAATGCCCACAGGACTTTTTTTGGTCCATACCTCATTCAGCTTCGTCGCACAATTTGTGGCGCGATAAGCAGGTAAAGCAGGTGGTAAGTAAAGAGGAAATCCGGCCTCAACGAACGAAGAAAGGAAAGGAGAGAGGGAATTATGAGAATTGAAGAACAGGGGAAGAGCTATATATCAATGACGATGGCGTGGAAGTGAAAAAAGGAAGGGGAGGAGGACAAGGAGATGGGAAAGAAAGGGCCGTTACTGATATCGTGATAAAGCATGACGATGCGAAAGGGAAATATGAATAGTAAAGAGAGTGAAATCCAACCAACATGAACTAAAGATTACCATGGCCCTCAAACCTCATGATATACTGATAGAGTTGAACCGCTGGGCTTTTTCGAGTGTAAGAAGCCTCAAGCTGATAGAGCAATGTAGATAAGGAACCTTTTGGGTTGTTGAGCCCTGGACCTAGCGAAAGGCAACTAGTCGGACCTCGATGCTTTGTCGAGGCGGGCCACTGACATCGGGATTGAAGATAGAGCAGTGGAAACCACCTGTAAAAATATGGTTAGCAAGTCACATCCAGCCCGCCGCTAGTATATGAAGTAAAATAAGGCACCCACGGGGACGCCTGCCACACGAATCCGCGTTGCGGAACACCATAAGATCGCTCGAGGTTTGGTTCTTGATGTAGTACCACTTATGAGCTGAGTTGTAGTGTAAGAGCGAGTTCTCTTCAATGTGGTCTCGGTGGATGGCATCGTTGTCGATGATGTCGTTGTCAGGGTCGACGGTGGTCCAGTCGCACAGCACGAGGGGCCAATCTGAGTTTGGGCCAACCAGCGGGAGCCATACGCTTTGGTGAGGTTAGCCTTTGTTTGTATTGATTACACGAATGTGCGAGTGAGAAAATACCTGAGAATATCAAAATCCTTGCCCGCCCAGATATGATCTTGCCCAGGGAAGGCGAAGCGCAAGTCCATAAGTGCGCCTTGTTGGGAGACGTCGCAGTGCGGTTTTCTGGACGGTTGATTGAAGTCGGTGTAACCTCGAGTGATGGAAGGAAAGTCGGAATCCCTCTTCCGGACCTGAAACCATCGGGTCAGTGACGGAGTCTTGCGGGAGAAAGGAGAGCTCACATTCAGGTCATAACTCTCAATGCGCGTGTACTGCGGAAAATCCCTCTCCAGGATCCGCTCAAGCTTGTCCCAGATGCTGAACTGAATCTCACTGAGTTGAGTGACAGC